TGTCTTATGAACAATTTATGTCTAATAATAACTTTCCATTACCTTTTAAAGAATTCAATGCTGTGCAAAAAGCAATTCCGTTAGGCCTAATTCAACTTATAAAATCTCATTTAATGTTTAATGAAAATGTTATTAAAGAACCAGAGCTGATTTTAAATGGAATTAGTCTATTTGACAACAAATGTAATAATAAATATACTCGACAAATTTTTCAAAATAAAAAATATAATGTTCCTAAAGGCAAATTTTACTGGGCATCCTTCCTTGACACAACAGACTGGAAAAAAGCCTGGCTATTACCTCATAAGTACTGCATTCCCAATAAAACAAAAGAGGTTCATTTCAAAATTCTTCATAAAATATACCCAGTAAACGGTACTTGGGCAAAGTATTATCACACATTTTTTCAATGTGAAAGCACAAAAACCTTTTGGAAAAACTTATATCTCCATATAGGTAACCACATTGCTTCTTCCAGACCCTTTCATCTTCAGGATGTCGTTTGTTATTATGGAGGTGGGGCTGATGTCAGAGAATTACATTATTGACTTTTTTATTTTGTATGGAAAATATTTTATCCATAAACAAAAATTCTCCAGTTCGCAGCCTTCTTTTTCACATTTTTTAATAGAAATTGATGTTTTTATTATATCTCTTAGATTAGTTAATAATAAGAAAAGTGATAGATTTTTAGTTTTTTATGATAAATATTTTGGAAACAGCACGGATACACAAGTCCTCCTTTCCTCTTGCTGTATTTGTGTTATGCATATGTTTAATCTTATTTATTTTTTTCTTTCTTTTCTCTCTTTTTATTTAATTTTTAATGTTTATATTATTTATCCTGATCTGTTATTGTCATTGTGTTCTTTTGTGTAAATTGAATTTTGTATGTTTGTTATTGAAGTCAATAAAAGAAAAAAAAAACTACAAGGAGGCGTAGCCAACCGTCGCCATTTTGTTCGCGCATAATCTTACCGACCGAGGCATACCAAACAAGGGCAAAGAGGCGGAGCTTGAGCAAAGCTATAGATGTCTGCTATCATTTTGCTCAGATGGGCTTTTCAATGGGAGAAACGCTTAATACTTCATTACCAGCGACTCGTTTGTGTTCTGACCACATGTGCTTGGCTGTACACTATATCAATAAAGAGTTTAGTCTCACTGCTGTAACACATTGAGCCAATAAGCATTGTTCTTATGACATTTTTCTACAGGGGTAAAAGGAGAATTACTTCCAAACAATTCAGATATAGTCTGTGTTAATAAATGCAAGACTATTGATGAAATCCAGGCATAACACTGTATGACAACGCTTCAGATGACTGTTCTAGAGCCTACAGCTAATCCGTCTGTCAGATTCTGGAGTGCATTACAGGTCTAAAGATAAGTATAAATGATAAATTATCCTAAATAAAACTATTACATTTATAGAGATGATATACAAGTATATAATTTCACTCACCTGGGAAATGGAGGCCACGTGAATGGTTTGTGAGCAAAACTAAGTGCACACAGCATGCCACATTATCTGATCATTGTAAGAAATAACTCCAAAAGTCATCTGACTGTGTAAAGCCACATAAAACACAAAAATACAATGTATATGCCGAGTTCAGCGGCTAATCAGCCGGAATCAGCTGAGACCTAGCTGTCACTCAAGTGGCCATGCCCTTAACTATGCAGACATCATATAACCTAATATAAAGGAAACGGATGAGTTCACAGTTGCCACGAAGGGTATTATTAGCTACATGAACCAAAATCATTCTTTGTACCAGGCTGTAAACACCTTTCTTCTGCTGTAAAGTTGGTCATTTTAACAGTGGGCTTAATAGAAATTTGCTATATTATGGAGCCAGGACTGGTGGAATTTCGATGAATTAAAGTTTCAGTTACTTCCGTATTTGCTTCAAGAGGGAGAACGGGAGGTTGCTGCTTGGCTCCTTCTTATACATTCTTATATTCAGCCTTCACATCAAGGTTCCTAAAAGCCAAGAAGGTCAAGGTGCTCCAGGATTGGCCAGCCCAGTCACCAGACATGAACAGTATTGAGCATGTCTGGGGTAAGATGGAGGAGAAGGCATTGAAGATGAAACTTGATGAACTCTGGGAGTCCTGCAAGAACACTTTCTTTGCCATTCCAGATGACTTTATTAGTAAGTGATTTGAGTCATTGCAGAGATGTATGGATGCAGTTCTCCAAGCTCATGGGAGTCATACACTATATTCATTCTTTTTCCACTGCAGCATGACTTTATTTTCTATATTGGACATTATTTCTGTTAAGCGGCAAGACTTTTGTCTGAGCATAGTCAGACCTTACTGTCCTAATTAAACAATTAGAAATCAAGGCATGATCATATTTTATTTTGGTAAAATAAGCGTAATCTAGAGGCCTTTGCCTTTCATATAAGCCACTTCTGATACCGAATGATCAACTAGAAGTCAAGTTATTATTTGTTCTTCCTAAAACTTGGATAGGCGACAACACTTGTCAGGTGGTGTATTAGCTATAATTTAATGTTATGTTCATATATACTGTATGACTATATAACAGATTTAGGTATGTAAATATAATTCGGGTCAAATATGAGATGCCTGATTTTGATGTTATTATGAGGACACGCATTTAATTTTCAAAAGTGACTATCTACAAAGAAAGCATATTAATTAGTGCAGACAATTGATTAAAAAAACAAATTAATTGCTCTTTTTTTGAAAATTAGTCACAATTAATCACATTTAAAAGACTGAAACTTGTAATTGACTATTCAAATGTAAAACTAACATAAATGCAGGACAAAAAACTATTTCAATTCAAAATATAATTGTTTATTAGAATTTTTGTTTAACTTGTAACACAGATTTCTTCATGTAAACAACAAACCCACAATAAACCATCAAGATCCTGGCTTGACAGCCATATTTCTTACAGAAATTAAAACACAGGCATGTTAATGCCATTTGATTTCAAAACAATCAATGCCAGTAAAGAAAACATTGATTTCCAAGTGGGATTCTAAGTGGACTGCAAAGAATGCCAAAATACAGGCATTGCAGATATGGAAATTGGAAAATTAATATAACAATAAAGTATTGAATACAAACATTTGCACTCATTGTAAAGTTGTATTGCTGTGAGTTGAGAACATTAATTATGAAGTAGAAACAATTTTGCTCAGTCTTCCTTTACATTCATCCAGTTGCTAAAACAGTCCAGTCTGTTGACATTATCGGGGGACAGTGTGGACCTTTTCTTTTGAATGATGTGAGCTGAGAGTGCAACGCAATCTCACGGCAATTCGTCATTTTTTGATTTAGTGGCTACGGACAACGATGTTTAGGCAGGTTTGTTGCTAAAAAACGCATGCGCACACACACACCAAGGCCGTGCACGGGGGGTGGTCCGGTGGCCAGAGCCACTGCCCCTCTGCCCTCATTGGCCCTCTCAGGAGGCACTTGCTCTTCACTTTGCGATGGCGTTGAGCACCTGCCCCCTACCTGCAGCGATTTTTGATTTCCTTAAAGGACCACCGAGTCACAAAATGCACAAATGCGGAGGTTTTTCTTTCTGTTCATCATGCAGTATCAAACTCCAATAAAACAGAAGTCGAAAGTTAAAAATGAAACACTCAAAATTGCATGAAACTCTGGAGGAAACTCTGGAGAGCCTGGTGATGCGACATTAATTGTTTATACTGAAGCTTGCCTTCAAAAAGTGCTTCCTTGGTCTAATCCATATTTCTTTGCCCGTGAAACACACATCGACCACAACAGGAAGTAAAAAAAAAAAAAAAAACTACAACTGCGTAATTTTTTTTAACGTGTTAAATATTTCACATTAATCGCATGCGTTAATGCACAAATTTTGACAGCACTAATATTAATGCATGTAAATTGCCTAGTTTATAGTTTACAATAACTTTTTTAATAGTCAAATTTTGAATGAAATGTTCTGTCATCATTCAGCACAACAGATTTATTTGAAAATGACAATATATTAGTCCGACCTGCACTAGAATGTATAAAAGAGCAAGTGATCATTCTGAATGTCATTATATTATAAAGGATAACCATTATATTATAAATGAAAACCGTGGCGACATTATGGCTCAGTGGTTAACACTTTCGCCTTATAGCAAGAAGGTCACTGGTTTAAGTCCCGGCTGGGTCAGTTGGCATTTCTGTGTGGAGTTTGCATGTTCTCCCCTTGTTGGCGTAGGTTTCCTCCGAGTGCTTCGGTTTCCCCCACAATCTAAAGACATGCGTTAAATTGAACAAACTAAATTGGCCGTAGTGTGTGTGTGTGAACGAGTGTGTATGGATGTTTCTCAGTACTGAGTTGCAGCTGAAAGGGCATCCGCTGTGTAAAACATATGCCAGAATAGCTGGCGGTTCATTCCGCTGTAGAACCCTCTGATGAATAAGGGACTAAGCCAAAGGTAAATGAATGATTGAAAACTTCTTGTAATGGCAATAGCAGTTTATGAATACTTTTAATTTAATATAGATATAACTGAATATAGATATACTGCAGATCACACTGAATGACGTTCCAGTGAGTGTCTCTAAATCATGATTAATAAAATAAACGATAGTTGTTACTTTTATAAAAAAAAACAAGACAATTTCTAATATAACGGGAAGCTTATACTTTTATAGTTTTTAATGCATTAAAATTAATACATGATCTCATTTATTTCACTTTAGATGTTAAATTCAAAGTGCAGAATCATGCTTACTAATGATTATGCAATGGTGTAAAAACATATATTTGTACAGGTGTTTTCCTGCTTCTGGATCATGGAAATCACTAGAATGTTTTTCCTTTTTTAAATCTTTTATCTTAGATTGAAATTAAACTTTAACCTCTGATATGCCACTTCATTTGTTTGAGTTTACATAATATATGCATATATTACACATATTTTTCAAGAAAGTTCAGTTTTAGATGAAAAAAAAAAGGTTAAAAACATAATTAAAACAGAACGCTGAAGTGTTTAAACACAGGTCTGAATGTGTTTATTTTAAATTATTGTCTATAATAATAATGTGCAGTTCTACATTATGGCTTTGTATTTGTGTGATTGACCAAGAGATAGTTCACCCAAAAATGTCAAATATCTCATTATTTACTTTCTATTATGTGGTTTTAAATCTTGATGAACTTCTTTCTTCTTTCTTGAATGCAAAATAAGATAGTTTGAAGAATGCTGGTACCCACTGACTTACATAGTAGGACAACAAATTACAATGGAAGTCACCGGATGAATTAAAATATCTTTTTTTATGTTCAACAGAGGAAACTCAAGAGTTAAGTGAGAACAAATGACAGGACTGTCATTTTTGAGAGTACTGTCCCTTTAAGAATGTTTCGAAAGTTGACCATATAACAGAACATTTATAATAACGAACAAAGATATTATAAATAAATGTACATGTTCATCATCATTACACACGAGTGTTTGTGTCCAGTACATGAACACGCACGCACGCACACACACACACACACACAGCTAAACTCATCTCTGAAAACTCAGAGTTAAAAGTCTCTTTCACGTTGATCTTTTTAACAGTATTATTCCTATTGTTTTGGTTTCTCTCTTAAACAGAGAAGGAATACAAACTGGGTGTTGCTGTTATTCGTTGAATCAGCAATCAGATGGTCAGCGATCCATGGCATTATCCTCTTGCGTTTGTCCCGGAAAACAAACCGCTCGCAAACGTTCACAAAACTCCAGTTCCTCCTGCGGGAATAACAAATTCAGAGCCGTCAGCGGGGTTTCTGTCAAACTTAAGACATTTTTAAGACCATTATGAATTAACTTGGCTTCTTTATGGCATACCTTGCAAAGGGTACCTAGCACAACAAACGGGTACCAAAAGGCGGAGCTAGACGTGCAGCTGAATGATATTGGTTTACAGAGAAACATCACTAGTAGAGGTGTGAAACTATACTGGTCTCACGGTTCGGTTACGATTATCATGCCTTCGATTCGGTTCAATTCGATATTTCGGTGCATCACAGTGCATTGACGATGCTTTCCATATACAGTGTTATATTGAGAGGAGGCTATAACAAGCTGTCTGTAAAAACACATAGACACACAGCACCACACTGTCTCTCATTCAAACACAAACATAAACAGCACCAAAGAAACAAACACACACACTTAAGCCCACGCAACAAGGAGAGCTCGCGAAGAGCGGAGCAGAAAAACGAAAAAAAGAAGCACTTTTCCGACGGTCCCTTGCTGAGAGCTCCCCTCAGCGCGAGCTGTCCCGGCTAAACACATATTGCGAGGGCTTAAACGAGCAGTGCTCGTAATGTCGAGCGAAAAAAAAAAAGAAAGACAGCTGTGAAACATAACCAGCTTTGTCTTTTTGTAGGAAACACACTTTAGATCTTTTTAGGGTTAGAGGTTTTTGAGTTATTGCCGTCTGTAACTGAATGTGTGTCAAGAATATTGAAAACAAAACCAACTGAACCGCGCTCATTACTGGCGCCCCCCTGGATATACAGCGCCCTTAGCATTTGCCTATGGTGCCTATGCCACGGGCCGGCCCTGAGTTGGCTGAGTGTTGTAAATACTCGCGCTCACCTCCCTCGCGACAGAGCGCATAGGAGATAAATGACGTCAGTACATAATAACCGGTTATGATTATTACTGAACCGATACCGAATCTTCCGCTACTGCATCGCGGTTCACCAAAGAAACAATTAATTTTGACACCCCTAGTCACTAGTGTACACAAGCTAGGAGAATGAAAACAAAGAAACCGCCATTTTTAAAAACACAGCCGAGACATTACACCGTAATACTATATGCAGGATGGCTCATTTATATGCATGCACCTTAATAAAATGGGAATGGTTGGTGATATCAACGTCCTGTTTGTGGCACATTAGTATATGTGAGCGGGCAAACTTTTCAAGATGGGTGGTGACCATGGTGGCCATTTGGAAGTCGGCCATCTTGGATCCAACTTTTGTTTTTTTCAATAGGAAGAGGGTCATTTGACACATCAAACTTATTAGGAATTTCACAAGAAAAACAATGGTGTGCTTGGTTTTAACGTAACTTCTATTCTTTCATGAGTAATTTACAAGTTTCTGACCACTTATAAAATGTGTTCAATGTGCTGCCCATTGTGTTGGATTGTCAATGCAACCCTCTTCTCCCACTCCTCACACACTAATAGCAGCACCACAGGGGAAATGCCAGCACAGGCTTCCAGTATCAGTAGTTTCAGGTGCTGCACATCTTGTATCTCCACACCATAGACAACAAAGATAGTGGGGCCATTCTTCATCAATGAAAAACCTCAAGGCCACCGGATATTTAAAATTGCTACATGATGATGTGTTTCCCTCTTTATGCACTGAAGCTGGCACGTTCCCTGAGCTTTTCTAGCAAGATGGTGCACCACCACACTATGGGTGTCAGGTCTGAGGATTCCTAGATGAACAGTTTCCTGAAAAGTGGATTGATCATCGTGGGCCAATTGAATGGCCTCCAAGGTCTCCCAATCTGACCCCCTTAGACTTTTATCTTAGGGGTCATCTGAAGGCAATCGTCTATGGTGTGAAGATACAAGATGTGCTGCACCTGAAACTACAGTTACTGGAAGCCTGTGCTGGCATTTCCCCTGCGGTATCACATATACTACCACCGTTAATATCAGTGCCACAACCAGGACGTTAATATCATCAACCATTCCCATTTTTTTAAAGTGTATCCATATAAATGGCCCACCCTGTACATATAATAACGAGCCATGGTTGACCCGAGCTCAAACAAACCTTGTCGGTGTCTTGATGTACGAGCCTGTCTGAAAGTGCGAGTGGTTTTACTTTCTCCAGGGAGCTCGCAATCGTGAACAATTAAACAGTAAGCCTACAGTTCAATACATACCTCGGTTTTTTTAACACGGTTTTTGGTTCAGTTTGGTTCTAATAGCTTGACGTGTTTTTTTTTTTGTTATTCTATGCTTAGGCAATAGGATTAGCAAGAGGTTAAGAAGAAGAAAAAAACTATTTATTGCAATACTCCTTTATTTTACTTTAAAGCCAAGAAAACTACACTAGTTCCTATTGTTTAAAAAAAACACTGAAATCTCACAGCTGCTGGTAGCCCATGTACAAACTGGGGAACACATAAATTCCTACATTTTGAAAGTAAACATGTGAAGTTAATAAGGATAAATTGGCCATTTCAAATAAACATATTTGTACTTCAGTAAACATAAATAAACCATCTTAATTATCTCGGTGCTAATAAACGTGCAAGACGGTAGTCTGTAAGTTAACGCGGATCGAGTGCTTTTATAAGAAGACAAAAGCCCGCATCTCTATTTACTAAAAATGGCTGCAAATCTTTTCCAGCAATCCAGCGCTTCCTCGTACTGTTGCCTTGCTTCACCGCTGCTTGGCATGTTAAAGTGTGGAATGATGGTTAAGCGTTCCCTAACTTTAGAACATAGCAATCGAATATTTACTTGCAAGGAGGAGTTTCCTTTCCTCAGCTCGTAAACTTATAGGCACACAGAAACAGTCAATTCGGAGAGATATAAAACGCACACAAACTATTTAATCGTAAAAAAAAAAAAAAAAAAAAAAACGTAATTCGCAAGCGCTTATTGAACCGTGAGTGTAGTACCGAATGTTTCAATATTATATTGAGAATTGTGGCATACCTAATATAGATATATACCTTTTTGTGTGCGTCTGTGTGATCCGGTTATGTTGTGATTCTGTGACTGCTAGCGTTGGTTGCTTAATATTTAAAAATTTGACAGTTAAAGTGACTAGGTTAATTTAGACTTAAATAAATAAAAATTAAATACAATTTGTACAGAATATTTTAGGCGTTTTTTATGCATTTGGGCAAGAAAAAGTCAGCTATATCTGGCAACACTAACCCTGCACATTACATTTCAGTCAACATCAGACATGTTAAGGTGTTCTTTATGGAGTTAACAGTATGCATAGCTAACCTGGGATTATACAATATATAACGCCTTTTTCAATTTTTCATAAGTGAAATTATTTACCAGGCTCTCCTCTTGGCCCCTTAGATCCTGCACTCTCTGTTTGAGCAGTTCCTCCAAGCCCAGCGATGGATCTCTGCAGTCGCTCATGCCACGGGGAGAGTCCTCCACTAGACTACAAACACACACAGGTCAAAATTCATTCAGTGTCCCAATTTGCATACTATATGTCTTAAATAGTATTTTAAAATATAGTATGTCCCAAATTATAGTAAGTTGAAATTAGCACTCTTAAGTTACCGGGATGGTCTGTGTACTCTAATGGTTAATATTTTCCACATTACATTGCATAATCAACATAAATATGATCAGAACTATAAATGTGGGCAAAACTACAAACATACCTAAAAAAAAAAAAAAAAAAAAAAAAAAAAACTACAAACATGGCCGACTGAGATTTAAATGGTACGGCTTAGGTAAAATTACTTGAATGATGGTTTACTAATATTTTATATTTTTATTTTTTTATGTTTTCCACATTAAAGTTCATCCGCAACAGGAGTCCACCACCAGACTACAAACACACATGACAAAATTCAGTCAGAAATCAATGCTGCGTCCCAATTCACACAATATCCTGCCTAAATAAACTCAAAAACAAAATTAGTATCCATGTTGAAATGAGTATTCTTAAGGTACCTGGAGGGTCTGCGTATTCTAATGGCTAATATTTTCCACAATACATTGTGTGATGGACATAAATATAATTAGAACTATGAATGCGGGTAAAACTACAAAAGTACCAAAGAAAACTACAAACATGGCCGACAGAGTTAAGTGGTGAGGTTGGGTAAAGATGTTTGGATGATTGTTTATTGATATGCAATCAATTTATTTCACTTTTCCAAAATATATTTCATCTGCAACAAGAGTTCCTCCTCCAGACTACAAACACATGTGACAAAAATTGGTCAGAAACCAATGCTGCATCCCAATTCACATAAGATCCAGCCTCAATTACAGAAGTTAGTATGTATGTTGAAATGAGTATTTCTTGGTCTGCATACTCTAATGCTTATTGTTTTCCACTTTACATAGTTGTTGCAGATGAAATATGATTAGAACTATGAATGTGGGTAAAACTACAAACATTAAAAAAAAAAAAACTACAAACATGGCCGACAGAGTCGGAGCCATTACAAACAGGCTTAAATTTCAAGATCCTTGAATGATTGTACATTAATATATAACAATATATTTATTTTAATTTTCCACATCAAATTACATCTGCAACAACAATGTAAAGTTTTATAAAGGTTTGGTCATTAAATATGCTAGAGGGTTTGCTAGGGGAACACCCGAGGAGATTTCTCTTCATGAAAGACTGGCGAATGACAGATTAACCTACTGCTGCTTCTTCAGTGTGGTAGCTAGTTAAATATGAAAGAAATGTGGATAATTTGACAAGATGATTGACAGGGCACGCAACTAAGCAAAAGAATTGTCCGTTAATGAGAAAGTAGTGTGTCCCAAAGCTTGCATTCTCTTCTGTTACACATTCAAATGAAAGTACTTTTCTCCTCAAACTGAAAAAGCTGATGCCTTTCCAGCAGCATACGTTAGTTCATTTATGACCGTCAACACCCTCAGAAATACTGGTACAATGTTGTACCAAAGAAGGTGTAAACCCTTGTCACTGGGGCAGTTTCTTTTTATGAAACAGAATTGTACCTTAAGACAAAGAAACACATTTTTATTGTTGCAGTCTGTATATTTAAGGACATGATTTGTACCATTTAAACCTGCAGATACAATATTGTACCTTCATCAAAGGTACAAATCTGATCCACGAAGGTACCACTACAGTAACAAGACACTTTGTACCCTAACAGTGTCAAACTTGTTCCTTCAAGAACTATTTAAAAGCATTTTGCTGTATCCAAAATGTGTCAGTTTATTTTCAGTAAATATAAAACATCAAATACATTTTTTAAACAATGTTTTTAAGTTTATTTTTGTGTGAATGCACCTTTTCTATTTACAATAAAGAATAAAAATTATTTTAACACAACTCAAAAGATTTTTTGGCTAAACACTGCACAACACTTTTTACAAAAATGTTACAACTTTTTTTCCTCCAAATTTCACACAATATCTTTGTAATCACTTAAAAGTTGATTTGATTTACTTAATTTTAAAATAGAATTAGAATTATGCAAAAGTATTGTAACTAGATATGCAGAATATTTGATGAGTTCACAGTACTAAAATGTCTGCATGAACACTTGCATATGCAGGACTTTTGCTGGCTCACATGCGTAGTGGAATGCAAACGCCAAAAGGTGCTGATATCCGTTATGAAAATGTATTTATAAGAAAAAGCTTACCAAAGGTTTATTAAAAATGCCTTAAATGTTTAATTTATACTGCACACGACATTTGGACACAACTGTCGGATTACGCCCCCTTGTGGCAGCCGCACAGTATTTTCAGTGTTGTCGTGCACCCGGGGGAGAAGCTGATTCTCACGGTGTCCAAAATTAAGGAGGGCAAAAGCAAGAGCCTTTAATCTCTGTGCGTTCACATGGTTTAATGAATGAATGAATGAATACTAGAAACTCATAGACCGCTAAAATATTGGAGGGATTGTGGAGACAACATTAAAAATATATATTTTTATTACTTTCTTACTTACATTTGTGAACAGAAAAGTATTTTTTTTTTAATATAGACTTTTTATAATTAAAAAAAATAACCAAATAAACTCCTTTTTCTCATCTCGGGCGCACAGATCTGCTTGGACATCACTAGAATACATCATATCCAGTCGGCAGGTCGCATACGGTCTAGTCGCAAGAGTTCAAATATTTCAACGAATCCGCAACTCAATTCGGATCCGAATTTTACACATACGTAGATGATCGGAACTCAACTCAGCTCCCGGACTAGACTCCATTGGAAATGAATGACTTCCGGTCTGTCGCTTGTCATTTGTCGTGTGCAGTGGAAAGGAGACTTTAGAGTTTTGTTTTACCAGTTGTTTTGTATTATAAAACTTAATAATTAATGTTTATGAGTTTCTTTAAGCATATGCTTTTAAATAATGATTCATGTTTTAATATGTAAATTATTCATAAAATAATTTGGCCTTTCCAGTAATACTTATGTTTATAGATATTTTAATAAATATATTGTAGATATTGTAATAAAGAAGGAGTTGTCCAACAAATGTACCTTTTTTATGAGAACAATTGTGTACCTTCATTTCAATTGTACCATAGAAGGTACAGAACAGTATTATAAGAGGTCTTTTCTGTACTATAAAAGGTGCAACTTTTACAAAGATACAAAACTGTTCCGTAAGGCAGAGGTTCTCAAAGTGGGGATCGGGACCCCCCGAGGGGTCGCGGGACAATGAAGGGGGGTCGCCTGGTGATTTTCAAAAATCAATTAATTTTTATTAAACCTTAAGACTTACTGTATTTTATCAATAACCTACTAAAGAGAAAAAAATAGTCGTTTATAGTTACTATAAACTATATAGTTACTATAGTAGCTTATAGTTAATAGTTCTATTGGATTGCGACTTCTCTAGTAATTACATTATACTAAAGGCACAGCAATACTTTCAGATGCAGCAGATTGATTTTATAACACCAGGTTAAACTTTCTAGCCCATTTACAGCACTGACATACATAAAAAAACAAAAACAAAGAATAGACTTGGGTCTATTGGTGTGTGTGCGTCATTGCATACAAGGTTTCTGTATTTATAACCACCACCTCAGAGAAAATTGGGGGTCACGAGTCACTGGCATTGTCATTTTGGGGGTCGCGGGCTGAAAAGTTTGGGAACCCCTGCCGTAAGGAACATTATTAGTACCACTGTGTACCTTTTTTTTGAGAGTGTACAGACTGACCTCCCCCATGAACGTAATTTAAGTTTTGTAGTATAATTTGGTGTTTTATTTATTTTGTACTATTTTGCTTACTATATACTGAAGCTATTTAAAGGTTTAACAAGGGGGAAAAAATAACTAAACAAAAAAATAGTTTAAGATCATGCAAGTGCTCTACTAACCAGCAGAGGGCGCCAAGCACATGTTCGTGAACAGAGGAATGAGGAGAGCGGAGAACAGACACCAGCTGCTGGACCATTCCCATAGACAACACTGTATCTGAGAAAGAAAGCAACATTTAGAATATAAAACACGTTTTTTATTGTTGTTGTTTTTTCATCGTGTGATTATTATAATTTATTTATGGATTGCACTTTTACTTTGGGGAACTACCTTTCATAAAGAAACTGAAACAAATCACTTTAAATAAAAGGGTGATGCTACAAATGATGTGCATACAGGGTGAAATCTAAGTGTGAGGTACATTTGATTTTATTTATTCTTCTTTCGTAATCACTAGAGTACAATAATATCCAATAAGTCCATAACTTTGCAGCAGAAAAACTTGTTTCAAGTTATTTTGGGTGTAAGTCAAGGTCTGCTGAATGCAATTACTTTAATAAGTTGCCTTTTAGGCGAAGCAGTGGCGCAGTAGGTAGTGCTGTCGCCTCACAGCAAGAAAGTCGCTGGGTCGCTGATTCGAGCCTCAGCTCAGTTGGCGTTTCTGTGTGGAGTTTGCATGTTCTCCCTGCGTTCGCGTGGGTTTACTCCGGGTGGTCCTGTTTCCCCCCACAGTCCAAAGACTTGTGGTACAGGTGAACTGCATAGGCTAAATTGTCCGTAGTGTATGAGTGTGTGTGTGAATGTGTGTGGATGTTTTCCAGAGATGGGTTGCAGCTGGAAGGGCATCCGCTGCATAAAAACTTGCTGGATAAGTTGGCAGTTCATTCCGCTGTGGCGACCCGGGATTAATAAAGGGACTAAGCTGACAAGAAAATTATTGACTGAAAGTTTCCTTTCAATACGATATGAATGAACTGAAGAGAAAAATAACACCTCTTTGTACAGTTTTGAACAAATATCGCTTACAAAATAATGATCATTTTCCCTGTAAATACTCCCAATATTTTAACCAAATAATCAATAGGCATGGGTGGATAAATGCTCTGCGTCCAGAATGAGCCCTACCTTTGTGTTCTGGATGACTGTTCAAAAGGTTTAGAAGAAGAAACGCTGATTTAGTTCTCAGCTTCTCACTGTCTGACTGCATCCCCCTCATCAGCACTGAAAAGCCGTCATGTGAAAGGAAGTCCTTCAGTCCAGCTTCCTGTTCACGCACTAAACCTGCACAAGACAAGAGTGAAGAATTGAATGCGTTGTCACTAATGAAATTAAACGATATATGTGTTACATCTAAACATTCGCATTAAACTTTATTTTTCAGGTTGTCCTAGCTAATGCGCACTTAAAGGGAAACAGATCACGACACCCACCTCATTTATGGCTGTTTATGAATTATGAATTATTGCATTATTTCAGTGTTATATTTAAAAACACAGGCATTTATGAAAGTGATAAAGAAATAATTGGGCTTTTATTAATTTTATAAGCGTGTCAAGATTTGGCTGTTTGAATATTTCGTTTTTAAAACACATTATGATCAGGCGGCATGGTGGTTAGCACTGTCGCCTCACAGCAAGAAGTTCGCTGGTTTGAGTCCCGACTGGGTCAGTTGGCATATCTGTGTGGAGTTTGCATGTTCTCCCCATATTGGCGTGAGTTTCCTCTGGGTGCTCTGGTTTGCCAAACACATGCGCTATAGGTGAATTGAATAAAGTAAATAGGTTGTAGTGTATGCGTGTGAATGTGACAGTGTACGGGTGTTTCCCAGTACTGGGTTGCAGCTGGAAGGGCATCCGCTGTGTAAAACATATGCTGGAATAGTAGTAACCCCTGATAAATAAGGGACTAAGCTGAAGGAAAATGAATAAATGAATGAATGGTATAGTCAAAATATATCCACGTCTCTATTATCAGTCTCTTTCTGAACTGCAGTTTTCACAACTGTCATGTTTACTGTGTTTCAATTTTGTTACTTAGAGAAACAACATAAGCTTGCTCAGGTATTGTTAAAGTTTTCATCCCTCAAGCGAAGAACAGAAACTAGTATTTTGTACAAGTATTTTGGACCCTTTGATAAATAAGATCCAAGATGAAATGAAGACAGTGCTGGAAAAGACTAAGTGTTCAGCACAAAAATACTCACAGGACACGGCGTAGAGTGCTTTAACCCTGACTGTGCTGTGTGGGTCATTATCTGCGAGCTGCAGGAGGGTTAGCAGCGCCCCCTGGTTAAGCAGGTAGAACTGCACCTCCGGCATATTCTGGGCCGAGCTGGCGATAAGCTGAGCTGCTCTCCAGCGAATGCCTGCCTCTGTGTGACAGAGACACCGTGACAAACACAGATCCAGACCACCCAGCTTCATCAGATCTGCAAAAGAGCACACAGAAAAGAAATGCATGTGTTACGGGGGCCCATTTAAACCTAGTAACATTAAAGAATAATGATATGAACAGTCCATAATATGTAAAAAAAAAAAAAAAAGATTAAAATATTCAAAATATTCAAAAAATACATATATATGTATGTATGTATATATATATATATATATATATATATATATATATATATATATATATATATAAATAAAATATACATACACAAATATATATATATATATAATTGAATTAGTATTGAATTACTGTTTCGTGACAACACTACACTGTGGCATAATAAAAACTGCTGTTTTCATGACAGCTTTGTTTGTTTGTTGTGGATACGCCCTCTAGTGGTGAGAAATAATGTGCCTTTAAGATGCATTTTCATGTTACATGTTTGTACACTACTAGCCAGAAGATGAATATTTCTTAATCGTAAAGACCCTTTTCACCCTACTTTCCTCAACTGGAATAAAGAGATCATGCAATATCTTTAACCGGAAAAATTATTATATTTTTTCAAGGGTACATACTTTGTAAAGCATTTCAGAAGTCCATTTCTAACATTTATAATGTGTTTAGAAAGAGTTCTCAGAATTCTCTTTACCCCCACTTAAACATGTTCACAAGAGTGAATGCAAGTTAAAGGGATAGTTCACCCAAAAATTAAAATTACCATTCATTTATTTTTCCTCGTGTGGTTTTTAGAACTATTCTGTTGAACACAAAAGAAGATGTTCTGAAGAAAATAATGTGGAACCCAATGTTTACAGCTTTCTTTAAAATATCTTCATTCGTGTTCAACGGAAGAATAAAACTCAAAACTCGTAAGTGAAGGTTGAGTAAATGACAGCAGAACTTCCATTTTTGGCTGAACTGTCTCTTTTATGCCAGTCAGAAACACACACCTCTTGCATTGTCCAGGTTTTCGCAAAGCTCAGAAAGCATTTCCAGCGCTTCTTCCCGCTCGTCGTCCTCCTGCTCCTCCTCCTCCTCTCCTTCGACTTCTCTGTCCTTGCATCCATCAGTTTTCAGCACCTCCAAACACCGCTTCATCTGCTCGACCTCATCCATTTGTCCTTTACACACTTCAGAAAGAGCTCCTCGCAGAAAATCCATCCTCTAGAAAAAAACAGAGAGAAACCAATTAAATCAATTAAAGTTGACTCAACATAAGGGCCGGGACGCACCAAGCCATCGGTGAGCATCTGTCCACATAGATGGTTTGGTGTGTTAAGCATGTAGAATAGATATCAGCTGAAAAAGCACTGGTTATTCAGCAATGAATCAGAGTGGTAGATCAAAAACTGAAGTGACGTGTTCAACTAAAGAAATAACAAAGAAGCTGAGTGTAATTTTGTTACATTTCTCTTATAATTCGAAAATGATTTGTATTATTAAATTCTTAGACATAGTAGAATCTCTCCATTTTGAGAGACTTTTACTGTTATAATTGTACTAAACACTGCTTTGTTTAAACTCTCGCATGAACCAGAAGCTGTGACTTCATATTTTAACATTAGAAACTTTCATTAGACATGGACTTTTAATTGAAATTATAACCTATCAAATGCACTTAGCTTATCATCTCATTATGTAAATGCGTCTGCATAATTTCTTTTATCTATTTCCAAGTCTTTCATTGTTTATTCCATGCTAGACTCTATTAAACAGGACAAAGAGAGACTATCAACTACTAATATTCCTTTTTGTTTCGACAAATGTCTCATTAAAAAAAATCTACAAACTCAAAAACTAATAAAAGTTGTTCACTGATGGGGTGATCCGAGTAAACATTGATGATTTATGTGGATTTTACAACCGATTAATAATATAGCCATACATACAATACTGTATACATAGATATATACACTAGATGTCGCCTGGCCTATTGTTGTCTATTGGACGGAATGCGTCAATAGCGCCGCCATCTTGCTACAGGGTAGTGCTCCTTTGAAATGAATGCGGGACCAAGGTACAGTGGAGGACTGTGGCCATGCAAAGCCAGAGATATACACATAAACACATATATCTATGATCGGGAGTTTTTCTGGATGTTAGTATGTAATTTTTTTTCTAATTACGAAAATTTTAATTTTACATCACTTTTCTACATTGATAAATCAGCACACGGGCATTCCTGACAAAAAGCTTGTGTTTCTGTGTACAGAAATGTACTATTCACCCTCCCTGTTAAATTTAATCAAATCTGTGTCCTGAAACACGGCTCCTCTGCTTTCACTTCTCATACTGACGGAGAGAGCGATTCGTTTGTGAATGAATCCCCCGATCTCTTTCACTAACGTTAGGCGACAATAATACAAGTTTCTGGCTGCGCAGCATCTCGTTGTCATATTTCTTTTGCATTGTTTGCTGATTTTATTCAACAAAACTAGCATAAGCCGAGTGTTTAGTGCGAGTTGGAGCTGCTTTGCCGTATGGTGAATTCAGTAAGTGACTGTTATCATCAATAACGTTACCCGATTAGCACAAAAGTTCAGAACATACAAAAACAGAAAAAACATAATATTACCTATGAAATGTTCTGCCTTTGTGCTTTTTTTTCTTTGTTTGCTCGTTACTACACCCGTAGACAGCGCTAGAGTCCCGCATCTTCACGTAATAACACTGTCTTGACTAGTGCGGTTGAATGACATTTGTCCTGGGAGCACTGTACCAATGTGGCGGCGCTATTGACGCATGCTCAGGGTCCCTATGCCATATCTAGCGTATATATCTATGTACTGTATATAGTAAAATACTGTACATGCATCTGGCAAAATTGCATATTCTTAGTATTTATTTTAATTTCTTTATTATCTGTGTCTTTATCCTGTCACAGGCATTCTGTTGCACTGTGGAAACCTCTGTCATGAAAACAAATCCTCATATGGTGTGAACATATCTGGCTATAAAGCTCTTTCTGATTCCGATCAATTCAGCTGTTCACTTTTTTAAATGTTTTAAAACAGATGATGATGATGCACCAATTTGATATGCGCTCTAAACTACTTTTTGTTTAAAACAAAAGATTCCTAAAATTTTCAAAGCGTCGTGACGAAGTGTTTCGAAATCAGCCACCACTGATTTGTGCTACTGTAGGATGGTTCATTATCAGTAGGAATCTGTGGACACTTTTTGCTATTTCTGCCAAGGAATTCTTTATATAATCTACAGATTTAAGCAGAATGATTTTGGAAGTATTGTAACTAAAAACTTAGTATATGACATACAAAGTAATACCTTTTTAACTTTTATTTAATATTTACAATGCAAATCTATTTAGATACACTTATTTGATAAACAAAGCAAGACTCTAATATAATACATCTACTAAAAGACAGAAAATATTACTTAACAATCTGTATTGTAAAAAAATTAATTGAAAAAAACATTTTCATATTACTCAATATTATTACTGAATTAATTTAAAAACTGAATAAATATAAATTTACACACATTTGCACAAGTAAATAAATACACTCAATTAGAGGTCTGCCGCGGGACCCGACCAGCTTTCTGCGGCGCGGGAATAAATTTCCGAATAAAGCACGGGAGCGGTCGGTAACGGGTTTAATTTGGGGCGGGAGTGGGCCGTCTAACAATATCGCTCCCAACTCCCGAGCGAGCACGCGTATGTATGTGTGTAAATGAAATAGCGCCGCGATGCTGTGTTTTGCTTGTTTATTGCTGTGTTTGTGTGTGTGTGTGTGTGTGTGTGTGTGCACGCGCGCAATTGAGAGAGAGAGGTGTGTGTGTGTGTGTGTGTGTGTGTGTGTGTGTGTGTGTGTGTGTGAGTGAGTGAATGACAGAGAGAGAGTTTTGCCTGTGTGTGTGCTTGGTGCTTATGTGTGTGTGTGTGTGTGTGTGTGTGTGTGTGTGTGTGTGTGTGTGTGTTTGTGTAATATCAGGACACAAATCTGTAAAATGTCATGGGTATGACACAGGCGTTACAAAAAGGAGGTGAAATATGAGGACATTGGTGACGTCCTCATTTCTCAAAATGCTAATAAATCCTAAAGAATGAGTTTAATCAGAGAGTAAAGCTGCACACAGTCTCCTGTGATGGTAGGGTTTAGGGGTGGGGTGAGGGCAATATAATATACGGTTTGGGCTGCATAAAATGAATGGAAACCTATGTAATGTCCCCACTTTTTACAAAAACAAACATATGTGTGTTAGTGCGCGCGCGCGAATGAGAGAGAGAGAAAGAGAGAAAGAGAGAGAGAGAGAGAGAGAAAGTGAGAGAGCTTTGTCTGTGTCTGTGTGCTTGTTGCTTATGTGTGTGTGTGTGTGTGTGTGTGTGTGTGTTTATACAGACAGCTTGTTATAGGCTGTCTGGACTCTGTATAGCTGGGTGGTTTTTGGTTTTGTTCCTCCCCCCGCTCTTTAGCGGGATCGGATGCGGCGGGTGGAAAACGGGGCAGGGCGGGAAGCGGGACAACAAATGCTGAATGTAAACGGGAGCGGTCGGGTTCGGGCGGGAGCGAGATTCAAAATTTAGTCCCGCGCAGATCTCTAAACTCAATGACGAGCTAAAAATCAGTGTATTTCTGCGTGCACAGATTCCGTGTGGGCCTAATTATAAGCGTTTCTCACCTCTTGTGTCATGGGTTCTAGCGGAGATGGACCGTCAGAAGCAGAACCGGCCTCCACTGCCATCTGAAGAACACCTTGCAGATTACGAGGGTGATGCCGGTTACCTCTGCCTTCAGCCATCTATAGAGAAGAACACACAGATATTCTGACATTTAATCTATCAATGCTTGCATTGCATCTGGAAATTATTCTTAGCGCTTCTCTTTTTCCACATTTTTTATGTTACACCCTTATTCAGCAGGCTTCCGTCTGGCCACTCCATCATACAGGCCTGATTGGTGGATTGCTGCACAGATGGTTGTCCTTCTGTAAGGTTCTCCTCTCTCCACACAAGAATGCTGGAGCTCAGACAGAGTGACCATAAGGTTACTGATCACCTCCCTGGCTGAGGCCATTCTCCCCGATCACTCAGCTTAGATGGCCGGCCAGCTCTAGAAAGAGTTCTGGTGGTTCCAAACATCTTCCACTTACGGATGATGGAGGCTGCTGTGTTCATTGGAACTTTCCTCAGCCTTGTGCCTCAAGACAATCCTGTCTCGGAGGTCTACAGACAATTCCTTTGTCTTCATGGCTCGGTCTTTTTTTGGCATGCACTGTCAACCCATAGACATGTGTGTGCCTTTTCAAATCATGTTCAATCAACTGAATTGACCACAGGTGAACTCCAATTAAGCTGCTGAAACAGCTCAAGAATGATCAATGGAAACAGAATGTACCTGAGCTCAATTTAGAGCTTCACGACAAAGGCTGTGAATACTTATGTACATGTGACTTTTCAGCTTTTTTATTCTAAATAAATTTGCAACAATTTCTAAATCTCTTTTTCACATAGTCATTATGAGGGATTGTGTGTAGAATTTTGAGAAAATAAATTAATTTAATCCATTTTGGAATAAGACTGTAACATAAAAAATGTGGAAAAATTGAAGCGATATGAATACTTTTCGGATGCACTGTAAGTATACTTAATAAATGCATTTTGATTTAGGCAAGAATGGCTAAAGCTTGTCAAATCTGCTTTAAAATTAGCTATTTTTTTTATTTGAAAAAATAAAAGAGGGATGGAACATAGTGTAGCTCCTCCCCTTTTAAAAAACAGCCAATAGCATTTCATTTTTACCACAGCTCTGCCAGTGTGAGTGGTTGAGCTCAACCGCATCAAATGAAAAGCAAATGAGAAGCGTCTTGAAGGGGGGGCAAGGCATGTCATTTGCTAGAGAGCATTTGATTGGTCAGAAGATTTGATGAGAAACTGAAGTATAAGCTGATGTAAAAAAAAAAAATCTATTCAGGCGGAAGTGACAAACTGCAAGCTTTGTATTTTTATATTTTTTTTATATCTTCTAAGTGTAAATTTTGTCATTGTTGTGGAGCACACTAGCCTATAGATTTCCTTAAATATAACAGACTGAAACTAAAAAAAAAATATTTTAATATCACAGGACCTTTACTACAAATTTTAATTTTTGATATGTATAATGTCTTGTATATCACGTATATACACATACTACAGAATAATCAGTTTAAGTAATTTATTTAACTTTCACAAATTGTCACCGATTATGTTCTGTAAAAGATTTTCTTATTTTAATTAAACAAGTTATTTCAGATTTTATACATATATACACACACTTATTTTTTTCAACACAGATAATATATTTTAAGCAATATTATAGATATTGCCGCAGATATATTTTGCCCATAATTATTTCCCTTAGATAAATATTATTTAGATATTGACAGATTTTGTTTTGACACATTTGTTCACTGATTTAATTTCACTTAAAGATACTTTACAACAAGTCATTCCTTTTTTTATTAATTTAACAGATATTACCATAGACAACACCTTTTCTTTCTTTTACTTTTCTCCAGCACTTCTAGATGTACATTATCCAGCATTATGCTTTAACCATGGTATATTTTCTTGTTTTGATTTAAATTAGCCTAAAGCAATCTCAGATCCTGCTTTACCATCATTAACGTATGTCTTTTTTCATTTACTGATAAACAGTCACAGATTGAGATGTGTGGCATATTTTGTTCACTTACATACTGTGTTATCACAGATTTTGACATTTATTACCTATATTTCAAAGTCAAAGTCAGATTTATTGTCAATTCAGCCACATGTACAGGACATATAGAGAATCGAAATTACGTTATTCTCAGACACTAGGTGCCTAACATATAATATTACAATAAAAAAGTAGAGTTAAGAAAAATTTTAATTTACAATGTATACAATTGTGCATAAAATGTGGTCTAAAATTTTTCAAATATATACACATCACATTAAGGTATCTTACTTTGATTTCACTATCAGATGTCATTACAGATCATTTTATTGGCATATTAACTTATTTTTATTACCCAACTCACACATCCAATACATGAAAACGCAAAGAAACTGAAGCACGCGCTAACTTACTTCATGTACAAAATGTAAACACGAGTTAGACAAACAAGACTTACCTTTTTAAATGCTGTGTGTCCGATTTAGCAGTAGTAGCAGACGTTACTTGGACGTGTGTCAAGTTTCCCCGCAGTGTAAATAATGTTACACTTGAGTTCAGTTCAGCTCCGTTATTATAAACACACCACTGCGGATCCAGAAGCTTCCAGATTCTACCTGCTGCTAGACAGCGGCGCGCGTGCACATGCCGTCGATGTGATATGACGTCATGAATTTTACCGTAATGATTATATGCCATCCTCGCAAAGAAACTTGCACTCGGAGGAAACCCACACGAACATCGAGAGAACATGCAAACTCGACACAGAAATGCCAAGCCGAGGCTTGAACCACCGACCTTCTTGCTGTAAGGCGATCATGCTACCCATTTCGCCATTGCTTTGGAACTTTTGTTTTTGATGCCTGTTTTTCATGTAATTGTAATTTACCAATGCACAATGAAAACATTAATAAATGCCCTCCTTGCATAGTTCTTTCACAACCTCTTATTAAGGTTTATAGTGTATAAAATAAACATTTTATAAGGATTTAATATACACAGAACCCATATTTAAAAGTAATTTACAGTTTTTTTGAACATTTATTGTATAACACAAAGTTACATTTGGTACATATCATTTACAATACTTTAATAATTAGATCATTAGCTCTGTTACCTGAGAGCCGCTGCTCCTCCACATCGAGAGAAGTCAGCTGAGGTGGCTTGTGCATCTGTTTAGGATGCCTCCTTGAAGCCTTCCTGGAGGCGTTCCAGGCATGTCCCACCAGGAGGAGGCCTCAGGGAAGACCCAGGACACACTGGAAGGACTATATGGCTGGCCTGGGAACGCCTCGGGATCCCCCTGGAGGAGCAGGAGGAAGTGTCTGGGGAGAGGAAAGTCTGGGGTTCTCTCCTGAGACTGTTCCTGCGATCTGGCCCCGGAAAATCGGTTGAAAATAAATGAATGAATGAATTACTAGATTATTTATAATGGTGCCAATAAAGAATGAAAAAGAAGAAAAAATATGAGGAAAAAACACAACAGAAATAAAACAGAACACAAAAAATTTAATAGGCTATTTAATCTGAGGATAGTTATTTAATACATAAAGAAATTGAGCAAAATAAGAAGATAATGTTATATTTTCAGAAATTTAGAGATTTAATAGAGTATACATATTAAAGGTCATGAAAATAGTACCTGTATATGTTTTGAGTGCTTTCTTATTAGGTGTACCTAGTACACTCATCTCTTGTACAAATGTTGGCTTGTGATTTACATTTATGAATTTAAAATCTGTATAAAAATGACAAGGCTTCTTATAAAGCATACATAAAAAAATGTATATAACAAATAATTACATTTGGAGTAGTAACGTACAATTTAGATGATTTACTGTAAGATTAAAAAACGTGTCCAGTGCGTCCAGTGTTGATGGCGTATGTGTATTTCTCCGCGCATGCGCACTTGTCACAGTCCGCAAAATGGCTGCGCTCGTTAGCGTCCGCGCGTGCCTCTCCGGTAAGTTATAAAATTCGCTTATTTTACCTTTCTCGTGCCACTGACACTATGTTCATGCAGCGAATAATCTGCGAAATATGTGTAATATTTGTGCAAATGCCGATGAGAGTGTGGAAATGGCAGTTACTGTGAAAACATGAAGGATGCTCGTGTGTTTCCCCAAGCAAGGTCACGTTCCTCAGGCTGTGACTTATATATATCGTACAGATTGAGTGGCATTATTGACATTAAAGCGTAAGATCTATCACAATATTTATATGATAGTTAAATATTTGTATTGTGTGAAGATCATACTTACGGGAAACAGATGAGGAGTGATTCGGTCTCGTGATGTTTTTGACAGTTGTTCATAATATAGCGACTTTGACGCTTGTAATATTTTAAGTTGTCCTCTGTTTATTAATGTGATGATAACATATTTTTAAGCAGATTTAATAGTCTATGTATTCCATTGTTTGCATTAGCACAGTATATTTATATATTATACAGTATATTTCCTGACTCGTGTTTATGAATGAATGAATGAATGATGATTTCTGTATTACATTTAAGCTTTTTTTGTTTGTTTTCCAGCTCTTCAGTTGACCTCTCCAAGTTTACTTCACAGCTCGTTTAAGCTGGTATGAGTTTCAGTTTTTTAAGTTTTTTTTTTTTGTTTTTATTAGTATGTTATTAAATGCATTATTATCTGTCATGGATTAGCAATTATTATTTGTTAATATCGAAGGAAAAGAAGATAAGTTAGATATTGTAAACTCCGAAATAATTGTGCAAAATATTTGTGACAAATTAGCCATACTTTGTTTTTGTTTTTTAACAGCCAAGTCCACAATGGAAGTCCAGGGCTTTATACCTTTTTATCCTCCATGGTTTTATTTCAAAATGTATGGGATTCTTTTTCTTTTGTTTAAAATCTGTCAAATAAAATTCAACTTAAATGCTTTATATACTTAAACTTGACGTTTGTCCAAATTCAATCTTTATCGGTTGGGTTAAAGTGGGTCAAAGGAATCTTGTCAGGCAAATTATGCAACAAGAATCATTTGATAACACATTTAAAGACTGTTTATCACAATGCAGCCTTAAAATACTCATTAATTGTCATTTTAAATCTATTTATATTTTGCTACTATTTTTCCAAGCACTTGATTTTAACCTATTTGTTAGCAACAAGTGTTTTAATCATCTAATATTAAAATATACTATATAATATAATGTTTTGATTACTTACTCTTTTATATATGGTTAGTATTTTGTGTGAATATTTATAGAATACTGAATGGAAATTGGAAATTGTTTCACTCATATCTGAATTTTTTAAAAATCTAAATGTAAAAACAAAATAAAAAGTTTTCTTTATAGAAAGGATAAAAAAAAGTCTTTAAAAGCCTTGAATTTAGATTTGAGAAGATATTTAAAAAATATTTTGGCTAAAACTATTTCTTCAGCCTGACAGACCCAAAAACTATTTACAATTACTATTATTATTATTATTATTATTATTATTATTATTATTATTAGACAGAACAACATTTTTTTAGTTAAGCCATCTAGTCAAATTGCAAGTAAAAATTAAAATGTGTGTCTGACATAAACATCATGTTCCTACAAAAATCAATAACACAACTAACAGAAGCAAAACAATGCAAAGTGTTTTTTTTTTTTATCATTTATGAATCCGTGGACCTATTTTAAATCCTCATATGAGCATGATCATTAATAAATAAATAAATACAAATTTATTCTTGCATACATTCATATTTCATACTCAGGAAGGTTTCAATCCAAAGTTTAGTCCCTGGTCAGTATTTATTTTTTTAAATCCTTAGCGTTTAGCCCTGATATGCATGAGTATTTTCATTGCAAATCTGATGATCTTAAATGTCTTATAAGTCAGTCTTAGAAAGGCCTTTAAAAATGTTTTCAATTTAACTTGTTAAACTCTGTAGGCACCCTGTGACATTTCCACTGGAGATATTTGAAAAAATAGCCTCATGTTTATTTATTTATTTAATTTTTTTGACCCTAGTGTGCAGTTCCTCTAAGTCGAAGGAATTTCGCTGCAGAAGCGAAGAAGGTTTTTGCTCGTGATAAACCCCATTTGAACATCGGCACTATTGGACATGTTGACCACGGCAAAACCACACTGACCGCCGCCATCACCAAAGGTACACTTTCAGCTTTATTTCATATAAGGGATGCTCCAATTGATTGTTCAGAGATTGGTATCGGCCGATAATTACATTTTATGACTCGATCGGTACTCTCCGATCTCATGAATCGATCACAGTTGTTGTTTACGGGTTTACACGTAGAGGAAGTGACACCCATGCATTGTATAAACTACCCCGAAAACCATGGAGACGAGTGTGTATTAGCAAGAGAACAGATCACAAGAGGCTCTGTGTGTTTTTAACATTATTGCAAGTTCACTAAAACCTGATTGAAAAAAATACATATAATAAATATACACATTTTTTTTACTTGAGTATTTAATAATATACCTTTTTGTATTGTACTAATTGCAATAAACAAATATGTATTTATAGGTGTGCATTTTAACATCTTATGCATCAAATATGCGCGCCAAATTTTTTCTTCATTGAGACATGTTGAATTACTTTCCCCTCATTTGTGATGTTTCTAAATGGCTTTGTTAGTCATTTTTCCCACCGCTTTTTTTTATTTTTATTTTTTATCGGTTTTATCTATTATTGTCTGTAAAGCTGTTTCTGACCATGACATGACCACAGTAAATTGTTATAAAAGACATGTTTAAGGGATTATATGCAACATCCTCCATTTATTCTCTCCAATAAGGCGAGATCTTAAGTATTGTACTTGGAGGGAAAATGTGCTTTATGCATTACAAAGCTTAAAGCATTAGAATCAGTACTCTGTATTGGCTGATCACCATGACAAGACATCGGTACTCGGTATCAGCTGCAAAAGTCCTGATTGAAGCATTCTTTCATTCATTCATTCATTCATTCATTTTCTTGTCGGCTTATTCCCTTTATTAATCCAGAGTCGCCACAGCTGAATGAACCGCCAACTTATCCAGCAAGTTTTTTATGCAGCGGATGCCCTTCCAGCCGCAACCCATCTCTGGGAAACATCCACACACACATTCAAACACACACTTATACACTACGGACAATTTAGCTGTACCGCATGTCTTTGGACTGTGGGGAAAACCAGAGAACCCACGCGAATGCAGGGAGAACATGCAAACTCCACACAAAAACGCCAACTGAGCCGAGGCTTGAACCAGCGACCCATCAACCTTCTTGCTGTGAGGCGACAGCACTACCTACTGCTTCGCCATGATCGGAGCATGCCTACGTATATTATATCTTGCTAATCGTAATCCTCAAGCAAACTTTTGGACATTTTTGTCCATTTCAGATTTCTTTGGGGTTTTTTTTTCTTTCTTTTTTTCCTTGTGTTTATGTAATCTGCATGCATTTTGGCTCAGATGCATGTTTTTATTGGAAATGTACTAATTCCCCATGTTTCCTTTAAACAAAAATGTTTTTTACACTTGGTACAAAAAGAGTTCCTTTCAAGACTTTCAGAACAAAATTGTCCCCATCAACACCCATTAAACCTGTGAACTTTTAGATTCGCAAGGGTTGAACTGATTTCTAACAGCTCATTCTCTGTATCTATTTCTTTTCATTTCAGTTCTTGCCGAGGCTGGTGGTGCAAATTATAAATCATATGAGGATATCGATAACGCTCCTGAAGAGAAGGCTAGAGGAATCACCATCAATGCCTCCCATGTGGAGTACACCACCGCTAACAGACACTACGCTCACACAGACTGTCCTGGACACGCCGACTACGTCAAGGTACTACACTACCACTATACGCTGTATTAAAAAGCAGCTAATGAGTAGTTTATAGATGTAATCTGCCTTTATGTATAATAATTGAGTATTTTATTATTATTATTTAGTTGTTTATTTAATTACTATTTAATTTAATTCATTATTTTTGTTTTTATTATAATCTTTCATGTGGTGGTCAGGATTCAAATCATACGAGTGACGGATATCATGTTTATGTACTAAAAATGTATTTGAAAAATGATAATGTACAGGAAGATAACGTGTGCATTTGTCTGTGTCGTGAAGAACATGATCACGGGCACGGCTCAGATGGACGGCTGTATTCTGGTGGTGGCGGCGACGGACGGTCAGATGCCGCAGACTCGAGAGCACCTCCTGCTGGCGCGGCAGATCGGCGTACAGCATGTGGTGGTGTACATCAACAAAGCTGATGCTGTGGACGATAAAGAGATGCTGGATTTGGTGGAGCTGGAGATCAGAGAGCTGCTCACAGAGTTCGGTTATGATGGAGAAAACACTCCAGTGGTGGTCGGATCAGCGCTGTGTGCTCTGGAAGTACGTTAATAGATATAAACACTACCTGACAAAAGTCTTGTCGCCTATCCAAGTTTTAGGAACAACATATAGACCTTTTTCTTGGAACGCAAAATTACCCATGATGCTTTGCGTTTATGTGCAAGGAGAATGCTAAGAACTTCCGGTCAGCAGCTGATGCATGTAAACAGTCACATTTGGACAGCTTTGAAACGATAGTTTTTAATTTATTTTACCAGCTTTTGTCATCTTTGAACTAATTCTGTTGTCCATCATTTAAAAAATGCGATCTAATAGGATGAAAAACAGCTGCTGAGAGGCGTTTTTCCCTCGTTGTCAGACGGCATCTTCTGCAGTTTAAATGAAGCCTCTTCATCGCTAAAGTCAACAGTTTCTCTTTCTTTCAAATATATAACCAACCCAAACAAATGTAATTCACCAAAATGTTTGACGCACACATACGTAGCCTACTGTACTGTCCTACTGACACACTGATTTAATAACTGTTACAACATGAAAATATAGGCTAGTGTCATTTCGAAATGATAGAAAAACACAAACCATGGTAAAAACAACACATGAAATGAAACATAAACGTCTCGCGATTAGAATGAACAGCAAATCAGCCAGCAGAGTATCAGTAACAGACTTTTATTGGTCATTTTTGTAAATTGCATGACTTGCATACCTGTTAAGTTTCATGCTAATAATACGGTTTGCTCTATAATGCAACGAAGTATTGCTTGCGTGTGTGTGTGTGTGTGTGTGTGTGTGTGTGTATTGAAGAGCTGCTGAGCTAACAGCCCGAAGGCAGGGAACACACACACACACTGTATTTCTGACGGCAGACACGTGAACTAGGAGAATATATTTCTCGTATTACTGACAGGCTTGAACCACATCTGACAGATTATAACTGCTTTAACAGACACATTTCTTAGTTGTTTGTCACAAAAACACTCTGTAATATATTAAAAACGTCATTGAAACCCATTTTCGGAGCCCAAATTACCAGTTGTACACGCTGTAAACGGAAGTTTTTAGCATTCTACCGGAAGACGCTGGTCGCTATGGCGCCCACCATGCTGCAGCCATAAAAAAGGTCTATAATAATAACTTTACTTTTAGTTGATCATTGGCTATCAGAAGTGGCTTTTATGAAAGGTAAAGGCGTCTAGATTACACTTATTTTACCAAAATAAAATATGCTCATTTCTTGATTTTTAAATATGTAATTAGGACATTAAGGTCTGACTTTGCTTAGACAAAAGTCTTGTCACTTAATAGAAATAATGTACAGTATAAAATATAAAGTCATGCTGCAGAGGAAAAAGAATGAATATTGTGTATGACTCCCATGATTTGTGTGTATTTAGAACAAAAAGCCGGAGCTGGGTGTGAACTCCATCATGAAGCTCTTGGAGGTAATTGATGGTCATATTCCTTTGCCAAGCAGAGATCTGGATAAACCCTTCCTGATGCCCGTAGACGGAGTCTATTCTATTCCAGGTGTGTTTTCTGCTCTTCATGTTACACACACACACACACACACACACACACACGCACACGCATTAGTCGGCTGCACATCCATGATACTCCCATTCCACCACATCCCAAAGGTGCTTTATTGGATTGCGATTTGGTCACTGTGGAGGCCATTTGAAACCAGTCTGAGATGATTCATGGTGACATGGGGTGTTATCCTGCTGGAAGTAGCTATTAGAAGATGGGTACACTGTGGTCATAAAGGGATGGAGATGTTCAGCAACAATACTCAAGTAGGCTGTGGCATTGACACGATGCTCGATTGGTACTTATGGGCCCAAAGTGTGCCAAGAAAATATCCCCCACACCATTACACCACCACCACCAGCCTGGACCATTGATACAAGACAGGATAGATACATGCGTTCAGTTGTTGATGCCAAATTCTGACCCTACCAGTAGAAATTGAGACTCATCAGACCATCGTTTGGAAACTGGAAAGTTTTCTATTGTTTTGGTGAGCCTGTGTGATCCTCAATTTCCTGTTGTTAGTTGACAGAAGTGGCACCCGGTGTGGTCTTCTGCTGCTGTACCCCATCTGCCTCAAGGTTGGACATGTTGCAGGGCTCGAAATTAACTTTTTTATTTGGTAGCACCGGTGCTCCCAACTTCAAAAATTTAGGAGCACCAGAAAAAATTTAGGAGCACCCACCAAAAATGATTGAGCACCGCTGCAAATTGTATTTTAAGGGACTTATTGTATTTTAAAACAACATCAATTAGGACTAACAAAAACCAGAAACAACTATCTAATGCTGAGATGACATTGATATTTGTGTGCAATAATTCCAAAATGTGTATGTATTATAATTCTAGAATATTAATGATGATGAAAATGACAATAATAGTAACAATGAATTACATTTCTCATCATCATGCTGCCTTGAATGTGCTTGAATGCAAGTTATCTGCTATAAAAAGTCTGTTACTTTATGAAAAATAAATGTATAGTTAGCATCAAACAAAAATGAAGCATTGCAGTAAGAAATATTTATTTTGTACTGCTAAACAGCATATATATGCATGTCAGTTTAATAAATAATATTTCTGCTGCAAAACAAACAAAAGATTATAATAAAATATTAAATTCAAGGCTGAAAGCTGCAAAACAGTCATCAGTAGCCTAACTAAATAAAAAATAATAATATACACCTCAAGAAAGAATAGGCAAAAGAAAGTAAGTAAAGTCTCACTTCTATCACTCTTTAAAAGTTTTGGTTTCAGTTTGTGTCAATTTAAATGTTCCGTCTGAGCTGATTTTCATTTTTCTGTGTTTGTGGAAAAGCAGGCGAGTCAGCCGACCCAATTTATGAGCAGGTTGAGCATCGGCGCAATACCGCTGTTTGTTATGAGACGCAGTTTCAGTGTAAACTTAGTAAAGGCGAGCTTCTTTGGCGATGATACAGTATTAGATTTGACTTTTAGCGGACATTTGCGCTGAACACACAGTGAATGCAACGCATGATGATTCGGGCACCTTCTCCAAGAAGCGAGTGATCAATATTCACCACGTGTCATGATCGCTCTCATCTGCGCCTCAACTTTAGGTGGGGTTTGTACTTTGCAAACCTGCGTGCTTTAAGTTTTCACTCTTTAGTCGTTTGCATTTACCGTGGACATAAAAGCTCCCTCCCTGTCATCTAACAGTGAAAAGCCTTGGGTGATTGACAGCTAATATGAACCAATATAGCGGCAGGGAAGAGCGATTCAGCACGTTTTAAAAAAAAAAATCAAAACAGGTCGCACTAATGCGCCCAAATTTACTATGAGGTCGCATCGATTAATTTTCGGGCGCATATGCGACCAAAATGGTCGCAATTTCGAGCCCTGTGTTGTGTGTTCAGAGATGCTCTTCTGCATACCTCGGTTGTAACGAGTGGTTATTTGAGTTACTGTTGCCTTTCTACCAGCTCAAACCAGTCTGGCCATTCTCCTCTGACTTCAACATCAACAAGGCATTTGTGCCCACAGAACTGTCACTCACTGGATATTTTCTCTTTTTCAGATAATTCTCTGTAAAGAGATGGTTGTGCGTGAAAATCCCAGTAGATCAGCAGTTTCTGAAATACTCAGACCAGCCCGTCTGGCACCTACAACCATGCCACGTTCAAAGTCACTTAAATCACCTTTCTTCCCCATTCTGATGCTCGATTTGAACTGCAGCAGATCGTCTCGACCATGTCTACATGCCTAAATGCATTAAGTGGCTGCCATGTGATTGGCTGATTAGAAATTTGCATTAACGAGCAGTTAGACAGGTGTACCTAATAAAGTGGCCGATGATTAGATATTCAGTTATTCAGTTGCATATCAAATAAGGTTATGTAAAAACTGTAAATAATATTATATAATAATAGTATATATAATAGTTGTGTGTGTTATGTGTATTTTCCCCATATATATGAATGTGTGTGTGTTTTCTCTGTGCAGGTCGTGGTACTGTAGTCTCAGGGACGCTTGAGCGAGGAGTGATCAAGAAAGGAGACGAGTGTGAATTTCTTGGACACAATCGTTGCTTTAAGTCGATCATCACTGGTAAGGAAATCATTGGAATGGGCAGAATTTCAATGTGCAATTAGATTTTGAATTGAGCATAGTGAAAAGTCAAAGTTGCATTAATTGGTAAGCTAAAACTATACTAAAAACTGTTCATTTTAAAATATAAATATTCATTAAATTTAATTATTTTAAAATTGTAATATGCTAAATTGAGTGTGGCTCAGTGGGTAGCACGATCGCCTCACAGCAAGAAGGTCACTGGTTCGAGTCCCAACTGGGTTAGTTGATATTTCTGTGTAGAGTTTGCATGTTCTACCCGTGTTGACGTGGGTTTTCTTAGGGTGCTCCGGTTTACCTCACAGTCCAAAGTCATGTGCTATAGGAGCATTGGTGAAGCTAAATTGTCCGTAGTGTATGTGTGTGAATGAGAGTGTATGGATGTTTCCCAGTACTGGGTTGTAGCTGTAAGGGCATCCGCTGTGTAAAACATGTGCTGGATAAGTTGGTGGTTCATTCTGCAGTGGTGACCCCCGATGAAAAAAAGTAGTGAGATGATGAAAATGAATGAATGAATATGCTAAATTGATTAAAACTACACTTTTTTTCTTTCTTTTTTTTGCTTCTGTTGATGTGATATGTTAAAATAATAATTATAATAATCATAATGTGTGTACATTTCCACATATTTTAGAAAATTAAAAAAAAATAATAATAGAAAGCTATGTAAACTGCTAAAGCAGAAAATAAATGCTATAATAGAAAATAAATATACTTCTATTACAATTTTTTTATTATTATTTATTTATTATTATTATTATTATTATTATTATTATTTTTATATTACTATAATATCAGCTGTTTAATCTGCTTAACTTGTTGCAAGGGGTTTCTTAAAATTAAAGTTTAGATGAAAGACTTAGAAAGTAAAATAAAATAGATAAGTAGATTATAAAACCATGATAATTTAAAGCTGAAAATAAATATTTAATTAACAAAAAATAATTAATTAATTAATACTACAAAAAATATATTTAAAAAAAAATTATTAAAAAAAACAACAACATATAAAAAAAAAGCCTAAATTACTCTGAAATGTTTGCGATATATCCACAAACAATCAGATTCTCTGATCAGGCATAAACAGAACAGCTCAAATTAAATATATTAAATACACTCAAAAAATTACTTTAGCAGCTTGTTTGATTTACTTATTTAAAATGAGGTAAAAAAAATAACACAATTCCTACGCTTAATTGTTTTATGTTTAAGCTACTTGAATTTGTAAACTAATTAAGCTAGCTTAATAGATTTGTGTTGGGACAACATGAAGGAATTTTGTGGAACCCAGCAGTTTTTACTGTGTATTAAGTAACTGCTTAAATAAATGTGTGGTTCATAGAGGGATTTGCCATGGCTCAAACATTCACCACTGCTGCTCTTTTCTTAAGGCATCGAGATGTTCCACAAGTCTCTGGACCGGGCGGAGGCGGGCGACAACATGGGCGCTCTGATTCGCGGTTTGAAGAGAGAGGATGTCCGGAGAGGCATGGTGATGATCAAACCCGGATCCATCCAGCCACACCAGAAGATCAGAGCTCAGGTGTGGGGGTTTAACAACTTTAAAGTGGCCACGACATGAGAAATCAAATTTTCCTTTATCTTTTCACATACAGTTGAAATCAGAATTATTAGCCGTCCTGGATTATTAGCCCCGCTATATATTTCTCCCCAATTTCTGTTCAATCGAGAGATTTTTTTTTTCAACACATTTCTTAACATAATAGTTTTAATAACTCATTTCTAATAACTGATTCATTTTTTATCTGTCATAATGACAGTAAATAATATTGTACTAGATATTTTTCAGGACACCTCTTTACAACTTAAATTGACATTTAAAGGCTTAACTAGGGTAAATAGGCAAGTCAGGGTAATTAGGCAAGTCATTGTATAACAGTGGTTTATTCTATAGACCAGGGGTAACCAATCTCGGTCCTGGAGGGCCGGTGTCCCTGCAGGTTTTAGCCACAACTTGCCTCAACACACCTGCATGGATGTTTTTAAGTATACCTAGTAAGACCTTAGCTGCATCCCAAATCGCATACTTATTCACTATTCTACGCCATTTTATAGTATAAATAGTGTAAGTAGTGTGTTCACACTGAAAACTCTCAAAATAATAAGTGCACTTTAATTACCCGGATGATGCACTCATTCAGCTGGCAAAATGAAGTGTGTAATGATGGACACTTCACACACTCAACGACCGCAGATTTGCTTACGTAGCGGAAGAGGCGGAGCTATCGGACGCACATGTTGAATAACTTTATTTATTTTGGATGGTAAAAGCAAAATTCTCTTACGAGAGTGATTATAGCGCCAATGCGGTAAATGCGGCAATACTCACGATAGGTAGTATTTGATGATTTGGTCGTTTGTTTCACTGATTTGGCAACCGTCAAACGTCATCAGGGAATTGTTTTGAATTTCCGCTTAGTAAAAAAAATTAGTGTGCCATTTGGGACGCCACTACATACATATACTATCCTGTTGAGTGTGTAAGTGCATAAGTACATAGTGCATGAGTGTATAATTTGCCATTTGGGACGCAGCTCTTGATTAGCTTGGCCAGGTGTGTTTGATCAGAGTGGGAGCTAAAATCTGCAGGACACTGGTCCTCCAGGAACAAGTTTGGTGACCCCTGCTGTAGACAATCCAAAACAAATATTGCTTAAGGGGGGCTAATAATTTTGCCTGTAAAAATGGTTTCTGCTTCTGTTCTTGTCAAGAATTTCTCCAAAAGAAAATATTATTTGAAATACTCTACATTTCTTTACTCCATTTAATATGACTTGAGAAATATTTGAGAAAGAATAAATATTGCACAGCAGGGCGGATCATTTTGCCAGCAGCTTTATAAGGCTGGGCATACACTGCTTACATTTCCATGCGATTCCAAACAAAGTAGGCTCGTAGGTGTGATTCAGCTGTGCACTTTAGAAAATCATCTAATTGCCGATTGACAGTTTAACCTTTGCGTATTGTTCAAATTGCCTCCCTTTTCTTATGTTGGTGTTTTTTGTTGCCGCATTGACATTCATTATAACCACATTTTTTTATTGCTAAGCCATGACATCATATAATCATGCTTTATTGATAATTGGTGGTTTTCACCAGGGGAAGAAAGCATGATTACATGGTGTCATGGCTTTGCAATAAAAAAAAAGGTATTCATAATGAAAGTCAGTGAGGCAAAAACAACAGCTAACATAACGAAAGTGTAGTCCATTTTCCCAAAGTGTATTATTGAGTTTTTTTTGGTCATTTTCAAAGCATTTACCTAAAATATGTGCCAAAATAGGATTAATCACCAAAAGCATTCCCTTTGCTCAAACACGGGCGAAATTAAGCCTCAAAATCACCCCAGAGTGGATGAAAACATCCCCAACAGCACACAAGGGGTATTCTCCTCTCTACACTGCATAAAGACATCATAACAAAGCTGAAATATGACCACGAGTCAGAATTCAGGATCAAAATCGCAGTGTACACCTGTTAAAATTGGGGTTGTGATCTTACAGACTTTTGTAGGCTCTGCCTCCAGATCACAGACCCCACCCACAAGTATTAAATCACTCCTGACAAAGTAATGATGGTCTTTTTCTTTATTTTTTTAATGTGTGTGTGTTCAGGTCTACATTCTGAGTAAAGAAGAGGGCGGCAGACACAAGCCGTTCTTCACTAACTTCACGCCCATCATGTTCTCCCTCACCTGGGATATGGCCTGTATAGTAGAGCTGCTTCCAGGAAAGGTATGCTTCACCTCCGCAGTTGTTGAGCCATTGGATACAAAATAAAATTATTAATTAATATTAACCCTTAAAGACCTAGAGGTATTTTGTAGGCACCTAATGGGCCTATGTTATTATTTTTTTTAAATGCAGTTTTATTGTTATTTTAGCAGTCAGCCTCAAGTGTCACATATTATTTTGAACAGGAGAACCTGAAGCTTCAGTCTGTATCATTTATTTGTCTGTATTATCTGTCTGTATTATTTTCTGTACTATATAATTTATTTGTATTATTAGTGCATTTATGTACTGACAATGTATTTGCCCAAAAGATCTGGGAATGAACTAAACAGAAAGATTGTTACAAAATAACTGAACACTGAAGCAAGTTTGACTTTTTCCAAATAATATATTTTCAGTTACCATAAACAACACCACTTACAATGAACAAATAAACAATAAGAAAATAATAACTAATGTGTCAGTCCAAATAAACATGGTGGAAATCATCAGTAAAAAAATTAGATATAAATATTTGCTATACTATAAATAGTTACATAACTAAACTAGATTCAATATGGACCCATCCATAGGTTTTATGTGCCAGCATGGATATGGTGTTGACCCTGTTGCTTCTCAACTTTTGCATTGCAGACAAACAGCCGCACTGTCATTTGCGTTCTTTGAAAACAGCAAGAGCAGCACTTCGTCTTTGCTGTGTCACTGTTTTGTCATGTTTTTGTGCTGTTGTGCATGCAAAAGTACTTAGTATGATAATTATTTCACGCAAAACTTTTTTTTTGCGTTTTATTTAGCCGTGCGTAAATGTACAGCCTATTTCTCATTCCGGGTTGTTCAAACTGCTGATTGCTGGTCCACAAAGCGAAACCTATGCTTATTAGTTGAGAGAGCGAGTTTGAACCAATCTGGGCATGGAGGAGGGACAATGCGCCAATGCATCATGTCTGGTTTGTCCGGAGACACAAGCCACAAGCGTTCATTTGTCAAATCAGCGTTGTCAAAATGTGATGACATAACCACACTGATTCTGGAGCTTTCAAAGGTTCGAAGGTTTTACAGCGATGGAAAGCTTCTCTTCTTTATGCCAATCTTTGAATTGTACGGATCGAATCAGCGGATCAAAAGTTATTAAACATTTAAGAACAATACTTTTTAGCCGCGGGTGGCTGTTTCGGTCTTTAAGGGTTAATTAATGCAAATGCTTTGCTTATCCAAAATTCTGTCATTATTTACACATCCTTCACATCCAGTTTCTGATACTGAAATCAAATAAGAGATACACTGAAGAATGTTGGAAAAAACATACATTGACTTCCATAATATTTTTTGTTCCCTCTATGGATGCATCTTTCCAACATTCTTCAGAATATCTTGATTTGTGTTCAACAGAAGTGTAAGTAAATGAGTGAGTAAATGAGGAAATAAAATTTTTGGATGAACTGTCTCTTTAAAGGGTCACGAAACACCAAATCACATTTTGTGAGCTGTTGACAGTCGTATATGTGTCCCACACTGCTAAAAACACTATTAGGACACCTATATTTCACTAAAAAGTGTAAATTGGGTGTTTTTGCGAGCAAATTCGTACTTCCGGTTTGTAACGAATTTTTGAAGCTGCGTCACAGCCATGAGATCTTAGCGTGTAGACTGGCGTGTAGACTGGACGTCTGTGCCTGGGTTTCCCGTATTACCTCTCTGAGTGTGCTACATTCATTCATGAGTATGGCTTGGTTCAAACCAATCAGCGCGCTCCATTATGTATGCGCTGCAACTACATTAATATGCATGTTAGCTTCGAAGACTGTTCCTGAAACAGTGTTCAGACGGCAGAGTGACGACACTCATTGTGTTGCCAAAAGTAGTGGGAAAAGAATAAGAATTGTTTGTAGATACGGGTCGCCAGTGTTGCTTTTATAATGTGCTGCATTGAAGGTTTTCCAGTTTTCCCTCCCCAGACACTCCAACAGAGCTAAACACACCCACTTTCCTGACTTTTTCCAAACTAGAGGTGTGAAAACACCTTGCTGAAACGGGGGGTTTCATGACCCTTTAATGGCTCGTTTCCACTGACTGGTACAGTACCGTACGGTTCGGGTCGGTACAGGTCACCTTTATCAGGCTTGCGTTTCCACCACAAAGAGTACCCTTTTGGTGGGTGTGGTGTACAACATAAAGTTTAAGTCGATGTCATGCTCGCTCGAATAAATGTCTACAGTAAAGCTGTACGGGTCGATTACACATCTGATGAGAAGCACTTCTCACAAAACAGATGCTTTATACACAAATGCTTGTTTATAAATGTTTATTACTGACTTTTCTATGAATATGCTTTGATTATAACTACAGATCAATGACAGTGCAAAATAGGCTACTGTAACGTCTGTAATTATATAAAATAAATACATAAATGCAACATATATGAACACATGCAGCCCCTTACAGTCTCCAATATATTATTAATTACAGAAAAACTACACACAGCAAACATTTAGTACTTATTTGAGTACAAAAACACACGCAATATAGCCCACAGTCAGCGCAAACCTCTCATCTGTGTCTGTTAGAGAGTAATTTTGACATTCATAGTTCATAATAGTTCAAAAGGCGATGATAAACACGGCAGTTTGTTCTTGATTCAGGTTGCTAAAGCACTTTTGCTCCTGTGTTTTGATGGCTTCTCTTTTTTTCCGCGCTTCACTCTCGTGCTTGTCCATTTCTTTCTGAATGGATCAGATGACGGAGACACTTCAATAATCACGTACACGTTATCATCATCAGCTCAAGAAGTTCGTTATATCAAATATAGACGTGATCGCGAGCTCCCGGAAGAAAGCGAATACCGCTCGCACTTTTAGACGGGCTCGTAAAGCAACAACAGCACACGGCAGATTTTTCTTCTTGACTTTGTGTCTGTTCATCGAGACGACGACAAGGTTTGTTTGAGCTCGGTTCATCCAAGGCTCGTTATTATATGCATATGGTATATCCATGTAATCTCTCGGCTGTGTATTAGAACATGGCGGATCCTTTGTTTACATTCTGTCTAGCTCCACAAGCTTGTGACGTATCTCTGTAACCAATCAGTATTCGGCTGCGCGTGTAGCTCCACCTTTTGGTTCCCTTTCTCATTTTTGATACCCTTTCTCATTTTTGGTACCATTTCGAAAGAGTGCTGAAAAAGTGGTACAGTACAGTTTGGTTCGGTATGCTTATTAACAGTGGAAACGGCCATAAAAGCGTACTAAACTGAACCTTACCCTACCGTACCACTTAGTAGAAACGGGCCTTAAAGGGCCATGAAACCCCCTCGTTTCAGCAGGGTGTTTTCACACCTCTACTTTGGAAAAAGTCAGAAAAGTGGGCGTGTCCAGCTCTGTTTAGGGGGGAGTGTCGGAGGAACTAAAGTGGGAGGGTGTGGGAGTGTCTATTTGGGCATGCGCGAGTTTCAGTCAAAATACTCACACACAGGAGAAAGTGATGGTGTTTAACCTACATGGACATCTGTAGTCGAATTATTTGCCAAATTATTAAATGGTGGACTTTAACTGCAGTTTGGCTCTTTCATTCAGGGAATTCATTCATGCCCCTCGCGACAAACGAGATATTTGATTCGAGGATCTGCTCTAAGCATGTATTTTTCATGCAATGTTTGATACCGCACGGCGAATGAGAGACAAAAACCTCAGCATTTTCCGGAAACTTAGATGCACACGGCAGGTAGCGTCAGAAAGCCGTGTGTGTTGTTCCGGTCACAAAATGCGGTAAAAACCCTACAAGAGGTTAAAGTTTGGTTGTGGTGCAAACATGTTTACACTCGGTGCAATAGTTAACTTAGTTCGATACGAACAAACTGAATAAACAAAGAGCACTGGTCGCTCACTTACCAAATCTGTAGAGACAGGACAATCACCAGCAACTAGAGCCGCGTCTTTATTAAGAGGAGACTACAAGCCAATCCAGATCTCAGCGTTTGCAGATGAGAACAGCTCTCAGGTAAACAATGTTCCTCCTTAGACACGTAAGTTATTGTTGTCGAGCGTCGCGTACACTGTTAATCCACACGTGATCCAGATGAGCTATCACAGAGGGAAAATGAAAACGAAACTTAACGGCAGCAAACTATAAAAGCAACACTTCACGCTTGTTTGGCCAACAAAACGTGGCGTCTATGTCGTGTAAACACAGTAATGAATATTAATGAAGTTGCACAATAGAGCGCGATGATTGGTTTGAACCAAGCCTTACTCATGCATTAATGCATCACACTGTAAGACGCAATAAGACACACTCTGGCACAGACGCCCAGTCTGCACGCTGGAATACACGTTATTATGTCATGACCATGACGCAGCTTCAAAAATTCGTTTCAAACAGGAAGTACGAATTTGGTTGAAATAACGCAAAAACAACCAATTTACACTTTTTAGTGAAATATAGGTGTCCTAATAGTGTTTTTAGCAGTGTGGGACACATACGACTGTCAACAGCTCAAAAAATGTGTTTTGGTGTTTCATGACCCTTTAAGGCTTGCAGTAAATGTCCTAAATGTGTAAATCTGTGTCTCCACAGGAAATGGTGATGCCTGGAGAGGATACGGCTGTAAACCTAATTCTCAGACAGCCGATGGCTCTCGATAAAGGCCAGAGGTTCACGCTTCGGGATGGAAATCAAACCATCGGCACCGGCCTGGTCACAGACATCCTCACTATTACAAAGGATGACAAGTACACCTGGGGCGAGAAATGACTCTTTAAAACTTTACTGTGCGAAAGCCTCTGTGGACTGAAGTTCTAGAAATGTTGCTCTAGAGTTGAATCACGGCCATTGTTTATTGCAAAAAAAAAATAATGAAATCTGTTTTGCTATGGAGGATGACTTTGTTCTGCAAATGTCTTCAGCCCTGAAGGTATCTGCCCACCAGTTTTCTACGTGAAGAAAAAAGTAATGTCTGGCATATTGTTTCTGTTGTCTGCTTTTATTTTATTGTCCCATATGCGCAGTCATCTATTTACAAGGAGAAAAACAGTGCTCTGTGAACGTTTCCAAATTAAAGCCCTACACCTCATTTATCGAATGCCGCTCATTTACACATTGAGATCTGCTGCAGTCTTATTCCAGCTCTAAACAAACGTAATAAATTGCATTATTCCATGGTGTGTTGAAATTCTTGATCCTGATTGAATGGAAAGAGTGCAATAGAATCATTTCAAGAGTTCACACTTAGCTGATGATTGATAATAAAGCTAGTTTGGCGTGCTGTCCCAGGAGAGAGCCCTGAGCTTATAAGATCCTCAAGCCCTGGGCTCCCTCCCGTTGCAAGGTGTGAGGGGAGTTTCAGCTCAGGTAGATCTTGATGACTCCCTCTCCTGCTTATTGTAGCTAAGTGTCAGATATGGATGCTGAGAATGTGTACTCAGAGTTTGGCTAAAATATTTTGGATTAATTGTTTAGGGTGCTTGTTTTAGAACTGTGGGAAGAAACCGGAGGACCTGGGGAAAACCTACGCGATCATGGGGAAAACAAGCAAAAGTCCTCACAGAAATGTTGCCTGGTTTGAAAAGGAATTAAACCAGGGGCATTCTTGCTGTGAGGCAACAGCGCTAATCAAGATGAGAAAAGTCTGGTTATTTATAGTGGGTTTAGGAACATCTGATAGGATAATTAGTCATTAGCTAAAGTTGGAACAGCTGTGAACAATCATAAGCAAGTGATCCTCTCGAAATTTGTTTATAAATAAACTTCACTTAAAGATGCTCTATCCGCTTGTAAAGTGTGACGTCACGCAAAGCAGCTTCCGGGTCCAAGCGCTCTATTCAACTGTATGCGGAGACTCATGAAATGGTAATAATAAACGTTTACAAAATCATATATATATATATATATATATATATATATATATATATATATATATATGTCCATGACTAATATGCATTGTCCAGAAAGTGATTTATTTTTTTATTAATTGTTAATATTTTGGTATTTGTTATGCAGCAAGCTCAGAGATTGTTGTGTACACTATGACTTCATATAAAATTATAAATGCACAAGACTTTTGGCCAGCGGAGAAATTAAAATGGTCGTGCTAAACTGAGTGGTTTCTCTCAAGGTTTTTTTTTTTTCTCACTCTCCTATCGGTGAAGTTTTTTTTCCCTCTCCGCTGTCGCCACTGGCTTGCATGGTTCAGGATCGGTAGAGCTACACATCGATGAATTTGCTCTTCAGTGTTTGGACTCTGTAATGAATTAAACCACACTGAACTGAGCTAAACTGAACTGAACTTAAACACTAAAAACTAAACTACCCTGATCCAGTTACTATGACCATTTATGTGAAGCTGCTTTGACACAATCGACATTGTAAAAGCGCTATACAAATAAAATTGAATTGAATTAAATTAACTTTAATGTGTGGTATGAATGAAAAGTGATCATAAAGGAATAATTTCTCATCTCAAATGAGTGGCGGCTTGGACCCGGAAGCAGTATTCCATACGTCACCAACACATCACTACTTAACAAGCGGATGAATACGATCTGTGTACACCTACTAGGCATAGTCAAATATTAAGAGAGCCATATGTAGAAATGAGCATATCGTGAGCGTCACACTCATGTAATATCCATAAGTGTAGAACCCACAGTGGACAAAAGGCCAATCAGAACACAAAGCAGACTGTTGCGTGACCCACAGGGTGCGTACTCATCATTTACATGTACTTTAGGCCAGTGTTTCTCAACCCTGTTCCAGGAGGCACAATAACAGTACGTATTCTGGATGTCACCCTTATCTGACCCATTCATTACAGGTATTGGAGTCTCTTCTTATGTTTAGTTGATTTAGGTGTGTTTGATTAGGAAGAGGTTGCAAATGTGTACTGTTGGTATACCTTCAGGAACCATGTACTGTTGGTGTGCCTTTTGCGTTATCGAGACCAGACGAGCAGCCACGTCATCACTAGCCAAAACAGACTAAAATGCTGGTTTTGGATCATTAGCATCCCTGTCATTTTCGGGTCAAATCTGACCGATTTACAACTTAAAACACTCATAAATATTGTGTTTTACATCTGATTGCTTTAAGGCCTTAGGATATCCTCCACCTTCTGCACTTTAACATATAATAGTAATAATTACCTCTTTCTTTGAATTTTGAGTGTTTAGATCAACCGTGTTACACCTGTGGTGTTCCCGGTCAAAAGTGACCGCCATAGGAAATGAATGGGTATCCAGACCAGTCATCCATCAGACAGAAAACTGAACTGAAACATTTCAGACTGAACAATGTCTTTTGCAGGTACACATCTCTTTACAAGCTTGTGCCGATCTTACAAGGAAACAACTATTTTACATTTTGTCAATTTAGAGGCTAATTCGTACTAGTTTTCTTTCTTTCGGCCAATCTCTATTCAGCCTATCTTGCTTATCATCGATTATTCCCTGCTGAAAAATCCAGCTTAAACCAGCCTAGGCTGGTTGGCTGGTTTTAGCTGGTCAACCAGGCTGGTTTTAGAGGGGTTTTGGCCACTTCCAGGCTGGTTTCCAGCCATTTCCAGCCTGGTCTTAGCTGGTTAGGCTGGGAGATGACCAGCTAAAACCAGCTTGACCAGCCTAGCCAGGCTGGGAGCCCAGCCAAAACCAGCTATGTCCAGCTTAAACCAGGCTGGTCAAGCTGGTTTTAGCTGGATTTAGCTGGTCATTTTCCAGCCTGACCAGCTAAGACCAGGCTGGAAATGGCTGGAAACCAGCCTGGAAATGGCCAAAACCCCTCTAAAACCAGCCTGGTCGACCAGCTAAAACCAGTCAACCAGCCTAGGCTGGTTTAAGCTGGATTTTTTAGCAGGGTTTTATTGGATTAGATCATTAGCATCTCACTCAAAAATGACCAAAATATTACTAGTGCTTGTTCTGTGTCCATACTTACTATTCACACCCTCAGTCCTCTATATTAGTACTCTAATATAATCCAACTGAAGGACTGAATGAAAATTTAAGTACACAGGAAATAATATAGTTTTGTTTGTGCTTTACTGGTTGATTAATCATTCAGAAGGTGCTTATTTGTGTTTCACTGCAGTTATTTTATGTCTAATTCTATAAATTAATGTTACACACTACTTTGAGACATTGTTCACAGCTAAAGAATGTTGAAAACAAACTGGTCATTTTTGACTGGGAACACTAAAGTAATTAGCGGGATGTGAACACGACATGAGGGTTAATTTGAATGTGTGCTCCTAGTGGGACGATGATAATCATTTTCCTCCCTTAGTCATATTTAAAGTCCCCGTGAACTGGAAGCTGCGATCATAATTTTGTTTTTCATAATTATGACTCCTAGAGAAAAAGAATTTTAAATGGGCAAACAGTGGATGTGGCTTATTTTTTCTATTGCGGGCTGAATGGACGTAGTAAAGTAGGCATTTCATTCAGAAAGATCGGGAAAAGGGTTTTAGAAGTGCTTTTACAACCTTACAGACTCCTCTCGCTCACCATTTCTGTTTGTTGTCAAAACTTACAGTTGGAGCAGCTTTAGCCACCTTCTTTCCATTACAAAATTTTCACGTTTAAGATCTGATTTCTTTAAAAATCAGCTTTACTGCCGGTTAGATATACAATATGAAGTGGATCTTAGATCGGACAAGAAGCACTGCATTAAATTCCATTTCCATTTCCATGTCTTTAGAAGAGTTTATTTTTCCCCAGTATTTTCAAATGAAATTCTGCACTAGCCTGTTGCTACTGACGGCGCTAATGGTTACAACAGTCTTTCATCTCATTTTACGCTTGAACAACTAAATGTATGCTTAAGTCTGTTTAACTGAATGTATTGTAATCACATACAACATCAATGCTGTAAATTGTGTTGTGAAATTGAAAATAGTCACATTAAGCTTTCACCAGAAGTTTATTGTTGGCAAAACTCTAGCTAGAGCTCATTAAAGATTACAAGGGCAAATCTTTTTTTTTTCTTAATGACATACACATACAAATTATTCACCACAAAACTAGCAATGTGAGCTAACAAAATCATATGATTAGTTTTAATTTCTCGGGGACCCTAAATTTATATTCAACATACTATGTATGTGAGACTTTTATTTTGAAAACGATATCCGCAGATTGTTTACTATGCGTTTCTAGGCAACGACTGCATGAGACGTTCAAAATCGCGTCAGGATGAGAAATGCAGGATTTACAGATTATACATTTATCCAGCTCCACCCCAAAGAGGCATAAAAGGTATGTTTAACTGAATTTCTTTGTTAAATAATCGTGTTTATTGTAAAGTTTGAACTTTATTGAACCAATGCAGTATATGGCGCCTTTAATAGGTGGTTCCAGTCTGTTTTGATCACTGTTCAGAATAAATGAGCCTCTCGAACAGTAGTAACAACTGCCAGAGCCTTAATTTTTGAATGTTTGTAGTCTTGAAGACCCGCAAACACATGCTGCAACAATGTTTTGCAAAGAGGTAGCTAACGCATGTTACTATGAGCTATTAGATATGCCTGTGTCATTCACATGCAAACAATTTCTCTTGCTTTCTCGCTCTCTGCTGCTGTTTTATTGCGAGGACTAGAATATTTAACATGATATAATTGATAGAAATTCAGTCAAACATTGTGCTACAAAGAGGAAAAATTGTTAAACTTGTTTATAACTTTGTGAAGGACCATGGAACAATCAGGGGCGCCCCCAAGGGGTGGCCAGGGGTGGCCACGGCCACCCTTGTGTAAACTCTGGCCACCCCTGTGGCCACCCCAATATGATAGTTGCTGATATTAATAAATAAATGAATAAATAAAATGCAGCCACTAAATTATTGTGGATTGATCAGCGCCACTGACGAAGCTGATTCACTGAGATTGCACACTTTTTATTAAGAAATTATTATTTTTGAAATGAGAAAGTTGTGTTTCATCTGATTGAAAACCACAAATCCAAAATAAATAACTAGATGCATTTTGAAATCTGCTTTTCAAAATTTTGTTGGGTTTTGTTTGGTTTATTAATTCATTCATTAATCATATTCATTATTCATAATTCATTAATGTTGGACATGGCATATATTGTATGTTGTACAAGAAATAACTTACCTGAAAGAGGTTTTAGACTAAATATTGATTTTTATTTGGTTTGCACTTGTACTTG